AAATCTTTCTCTTCAAATTTAAACTTTTTATCGCTTTATGCATTTAACTCAGATTTTCTGCGGCATGACTTAAGAGGATACTACATTTTAGACGATGATTCGTTATCCAGAACCTGTTTACAATTGGACTTATCATTTGACAGATTGACATGCGTGATACTGAAAATCTACAGCGTCTAAGTCAGAAAATGGTGATAAAGCATTGTAGCCAATTCTGGGCAATAAAAATTTGTCGATTTGTAACAACATGTTAGCCCCAGCCGATTCCACTTGATTATACTAATTTAGAATAACATTATTGATTACGCTATCAGAAGTCGATTTTATTTGTGAATTTTAAAATAACAAACAAATAATTTTAAAATACATCTTTATCGTAACCGCGCAGTAGCTCACTTCCTGAGCCATATCGAACCGTAGGGGTAAGTGGAGTATGCGCTGTAGTAAGGAGAGTAGACCGAGTAAGGAGCATAGGCAGCGGCGTAAGGAGCGTAGGCGGCGTAGGGCGAAGTGTAGGTGGCAGCAAACGGAGTGCCAACCAGAGACGTCGAGTAGCTGACCACTGGAGCGATAATACTGGGCTTGGCGGCCACCAGAGTGAAAATCGCGAAACAACCCAAGGCAAACTAGAAGAAGTTGCAAGTAAAAAGTTAAAATTCAATTACAGCGTTCGTCCTTTCCTCCAAAATATAAGGACACAGTGCATCACAAAAACAACTTACGAATTTGAACATCTTTTTTAAATTGCTTAAGCGGAGCGTGCGACGTAGACTTAAGTTTGATATTGCGGTACAAATGAGACTGTTTAATCAAAGTCGATGATATAAGCTTTTATACACGAGTTCTGCCCACCATTTGCAGCCTCCGATAGTCCATGTACAGCTAGTATGTGCGGCAAGCAAAATAGGTTCTAAAGCCCAACGGCAGCCGGCTGTGCGCTAATGGCCACGTTAAGTGCTCATTACTGTCACTGACAACAAAAACGAAACACATTAACTGCACACAAAGGTGCGCATGGGTGTGTTTTTGCTTTCGCATTTTTTCCGACCACTTTTTGCATCACCCTTGCTTCGTTGTCCATGGCACGTCCGTGTGCCGGGCCGTTGCGTGCAGACGCTGCCGCCGTTGATGGCGCGCTGTTGTTATTGTTGTTGTAACGGCAGAATTCTGCCGCGCTAGTTGGCCGCGGTGTGAGGCCTGCTTGGTGTGTATGCGTGTGTGTCTGTTTGGCAGTAGATATTTTAGGTTTGTGCCTCGCAGTGGCGCGGTGTGGACGGAATACTAATTCCCACACATGGCTTTGGGGTTATTTTCATCAAACTGCTAAGTTTGTACTTTTATACTTTTGTTTTTATACGCTTGTGTGTTGTTGTCTTGTGTGTGGTAATGCTGCTCATTCTTGCTCGCAGACACATAATAACGAATTCGACTTGCCGCGTTTGCGTTTCCATTTCAAATTGCTGCTAACATTCTTGGGCTTTGTTCTCAAATCATGCAATAACTCAATTATGACACCCGACGACAGGCAGATTTACGAATTCCTCACATACAAATGCTTGCTAGAGTTTGGGTGTGCGTTTTTTAAAATCTCAAACATATACCTTTACATACATTTGGGCTTGTATAGTTACAGATTTGGGGAAGGTCAGGCAGCAGCACTTAGGTCTAAGGTTTCGTATTAGTATTGACGTTGGGTTGCCTCACGTGGCCAGAGCTACTTCCGAATCGGATGCATTTACTTATAAGCAAACATAAATATTTGACGTTTAGCTCATTGCTTCGAATCTATCGTATAAATCGTGATATCGTAAACGCGCTTTGCATACTAATTTCTGTAAGTGTTTGAGGTTTTAATATGATTTTGGTGCACGAAATTGATGTGTGAATCATCCGCTGAAGACTCCGAGGGTCAGCGGTGTTGTATTTGTTTACAATTTTTAAGTTGAACGAACTCTTGATTCCTTGACAGGTTTTCAAAATACAATTATTATGCTTCATGTGCAAAGAAATAATAATTGGTGCGGACGGAAGTGTGCTCCAACAATGGTTTCGGCGCTCAAAAAACCCCAATTGAGAAGTTACTTTAGTGTGTGACTATCACGCTCAAATGAAACAATGTTCCCTGGGGATGAATATTAACAGGTTCCGTTTATGTATGTGATACAAAATTATTTTCTTGTACCATGTGTACAGCATCCATGTATCATATATGCAAACTTTTTTGGTTGATTTGAAATAAGTTTATTAAATGTATCACTGATGATACATTGAGCGTATGCAATTCAACTTCGTAGTGACATGTTCGTGTATCATAGCTGATACAAATTTTTTGTTACCATTATATCGCTGTCAAGATGTGTGGGATAGTTCAAAAATTCATCGATAACCTCTAAAAACGCCTACARCAATATAATTTCAAAAATAAGTGTTGCACGTGTACCGTTAAAAATTAATTTTTGTATGGGGACAGGGAACCTGTTAAGATCCTTCAGCACATGCTTATGAAAATTTGAATATTTTTTGAAATGAATTCACAAAAGTCATCACAAATATCAAATTATAAGGTAAGTAATGAAGATCCATCAGTTATTGCGGCGTCAGATAATGACAAGTCCTTGAATATAATGCTGCCATTAATTGCTTTTTGATGTCGGAGTAACACTTCACAGTCCGATTAATTACAAAGTTAAGATCATAAATGATCATAAATAATCTGCTTTAATTTTTGATATATGTATATAGGTATGTATGTAAGCATCATTATTCATGTTGCTTATAGAACAACTTTGAATAGAAAATATTTGAATCAAATTTTTTTTAAATTTTTAACATTTTACTAAGCGCTAAGATTACTCTTCTAAAGAACGGAAGAAATTATTTTCATCATAAAATATTGTAACAAAAGAGAGATGTAGACATCTCATCATTAAACGGCAATCAAATAAACATCGAAAACAAGAAGGCGAGTATTTTATATCGATATCACGAGCGTTAAATGTTTGCATTGGCTTCTGCCTTGTGCTGACATTCGTTTGTCACCCGCACACGCGTATATTAAAATATTTTGCTAAGTAATTAGGCAACTTGGATGTGCGTACAAGAAACTTGTACCTAAACTCCATCAATCAGCCAATTTGCCATGAGTTCCAACCACTACAACAGTGAAACAACTGCCCGGCAACGAAACAAAACAAAAAAAAAAAAAAAATTCAAATACGTAAGTGAGAATCGTTGTCTACAATTAGCGACTCATTTGAAAATAATTATTTATAATAATCCTTTATAAACTCTTTTATATTCAGTTGGCACTCGTTTTCGTCGCGCTCTTCGCCTTCGCCACTGCCGAGCCTAAACCCGCTGTGGTAGCAGCGCCATTGGCATACTCAGCGACAGCCCCATATGCAGCTTACGCCGCTGCTCCCTATGCCGCCTACGCTTCACCCTACGCCGCCTACGTGCTCCGCAAGTGAATGGAAGCTGTAAAACTAATATTATATAGCAGTTGATGAAATGAACGGGCAATTGATTTCGAATATGAATTCTCAGGAAAAAATACATAAAACGATCACTTAAGAAAAAAACAATGTTTTTACTGACCTGACAAAAATTATTTTATCCATTAGCACTGTGTAATTATAAATGCTACTCTTTAAGGGTTGACATAAACGTTTGATTTAACACACCCTTAGAGAAAATAATCCAGAGGCGTTAAATCGCAAGATCTTGGCAACCATTTGTTTGAGCATTTCTCCAATTTAACGACTCGCCAAACTTTGCACCCAAAGTGTCCACGGTACGAAGCTCTGTCTTTTTCGAAATTACTTCATCGTGTTACAGCGCTCGCTATTGATGGCAACGGCATTTTTGGCCTCATTTCGAAAAAAATAAGGACTGATAATGTCGCCATACCAGAATCCACCCCAAACGAAACATTTTTAGGGATGCAATTACATTCTTGAACCACATGAGATTTGACTCCCTCCAAAAGCAACAAATTTTGTTTGTTTGCAAAGCCATTAAACTAGAAATGGACCTCATCTGAGAAGAGAATTTTTCGCTGAACGTGAATTTTTGAATTTGCCTAATAATCATGCGTTGCACCAAAGTGAAACGTGACACGATGAGATGGTGAATCTTACCGAACTTCTTCCTCTTCTTCTTGATTGGCGCAGTCACCGCTTACGCGATTATAGCCGAGTTAACAACCGCGCGCCAGTCGTTTCTTCTTTTCGCTTCGTGGCGCCAATTTGATATTCCAAGTGAAGCCAGGTCCTTCTCCACTTGGTCCTTCCAACGGAGTGGAGGTCTTCCTCTTCCTCTGCTTCCCCCGGCGGGTACTGCGTCGAATAGTTTCAGAGCTGGAGTGTTTTCGTCCATCCAGACAACATGACCCAGCCAGCGTAGCCGCTGTCTTTTAATTCGCTGAACTATGTCAATGTCATCGTATATCTCGTACAACTCATCGTTCCATCGAATGCGATATTCGCCGTGGCCAAAAACAAAAAAAAAAAATCTTACCGAACACTTTGAAAAAATCTGACACAAAGCCGTATACAAACAGGGTCGCCATGAATTGTCAAAATGTTTGACCTTTGATATTTGAATGTTTGTTGTTGTTGTTGTTATTGTTGCAACAGCAAAACTAGGCCGAGTTGACAGTCGTTGACAGGATAAAAATCCGAGTCCATTCTAGTTACGTTGACCCCACTGTCATGGGAATGGTCAAAATCTCGTAGTAAGATCCGACCTATGAGGCAGAATTATAGCTATAAATTCGTTAGTGGAAACATAAGTCTAGGTCTTCATTTGAGTTTTCTACTCTCGCTTCTTTTTACCCTTAATAACTAAAAATGCAAAAATGGAGATTAAAGCCTCAACACTATTATAATCAGGTAACTAGTATGAAATAAAAAATTCTAACTATTTTTCTGCAAAATGGAAATAATGAAATTTTCTCGTTGATTAAATGAAATAAAACATCCAAATCATTTTCGTTTTGACTTTTCCATTTATTTATGTTTTGCTCTAAATATTTTCAACCATTTGCCTATGGAATATCCAGTCATTTTCAGGCTTCTCCAAAATTTAGCTCACACTTTCCTACATAATTTACTTGCGGAGCACATAGGCGGCGCTGTATGGGTAAGCGGAGTAGGCGGCGTAGGGTGAAGCGTAGGCGGCATAGGGAGCGGCGGCGTAAGCGGCATATGGGGCAGCATAGGCAGCGGCGTAGGGGGAGGCGACCAAGGGCGCTGAGTAAGCTGAGTAGGCCAATGGTGCTGCGACCACAGCGGGTTTAGGCTCGGCAGTGGCGAAGGCGAAGAGGGCGACGAAAACGAGAGCGAACTGCGAGTAGATGAAGTAATTAAAAAAGGATTGTCGAATCGATATATACATATACATATTTATGAAATTGGGAGGATTCCAGAACTATTGCAAATCAAATTCACTTACGTATTTGAACATTTTGATTGTTTTGTTGTTTGGTAGTTGTTYTACTGTGGTGGAGCAAAATGGAACTGATGAAATATTTGGTGAAGGCTCGAGCTTAAATACAATTTGCGAATACAATGGCTGCATGTTGAAGGTAAATATGTAKATGAGTTGGTGCGCACAAATAATTTGCATGTGCTCGGGCCGAATTGAGTGGGTGAACGAACGAAAAGCTGACATTACTGACCTATACACGTATTTGGCTCGTTGAATTGGTAAGTGCTTATTGGCCGTGTTTGCATTTGCATTTGTACTCATATATGTATGTGTGTGTGGATGTAAGCCTAAACAAACCAGGGCTCAGATACTGTAAGGTCAAGGGACACTCAATTGGGAAGTCAGCCGTAATAGTCAATCATTATTTTAATTCAAATCCACATTTATTAATAAATGCTGCAAAAAAAAAAACATTAGTTCAAAGTATTCGTTGTTATAAATATTATTTGAGGAAATTATTTCTATTATATTTATTCTTACACACATCCAAATAACTTTGTTGACCTGAGACGACAGTAAAAAGTCGAAGGCAAAATGTTGACTTAATATGCGGACGACAACATTTTAAGTAACTGCCGAATAAATTTGGCTTAAACCAACAAGAATTTGCAACAAAAGCAAAGGAATTCGCGACGAAAACGTACGTGCTTCAGCCAAAATTGTCACAATTGGCGGTCAAATATTGAAGTTGAGCATAAAAAGCAAATAAATGAATTAGCTTTTCTTGTTTTGTGCTGCGCAAAAAATTTTCTGCAACTTTTAAAGTATTTAAACCAGTCCAACGCACCGAATATTTATCAGTTTTATTCTGCTCTTCTGCAATAAAGCAACTAACAAACCACAAATAAGCAAGATGTTCAAATATGTAAGTGATTTTGATTAACTTAATGGGCTAACTGAAAGTTTACATATTAATAAATATATAGTATATAAAAGTATGCACTACAATAATTTATTTTGACTTACAGTTCGCTCTTGTTTTCCTTGCGCTCTTCGCCTTTACCGCTGCCGAGCCTAAACCCGCTGTGGTCGCAGCACCATTGGCCTACTCAGCTTACTCAGCGCCCTTGGTCGCCTCCCCCTACGCCGCTGCCTATGCTGCCCCATATGCCGCTTACGCCGCCGCTCCCTATGCCGCCTACGCTTCACCCTACGCCGCCTANCCATTGGTCGCCTCCCCCTACGCCGCTGCCTATGCTGCCCCATATGCCGCTTACGCCGCCGCTCCCTATGCCGCCTACGCTTCACCCTACGCCGCCTACTCCGCTTACCCTTACAGCGCCGCCTATGTGCTCCGCAAGTAAACGGAAAGTAGCGGAAAGGAACGGGATTGAGGGATAATGAAGTTGGGAAAATAAAACAAAAACTTAAACGATAGAGAAATGTTTTTTAATCTATTTAAATTAGGCTTCTTGTTAAAATTGGATTTGGAAAAGAGTTTTGTTTTACAAATTACCCACTAGAGATTTGAGGGTTTCGACAATGTTGTATATAGTATAATTAAAACAGCTGTAAGATGTTCTGACGTTTTTTGGCTTAATTGAACCCTTCACTATTCGGTAATGAATAATTTTGCAGCAACTAACCAGTCTTTAAGGGAAATATGTGATTTAGTTAATATTCGAACAATGGGATCGGGGGTTGTCCGGAAAGTAATAGGACTGATTTTCTTCAACCCCGTCTGTTCTTCGGAGTGTGTGCGCTGCGACTGGACTCGGTAAAGGGCGTGTGAAACTCGGTAAATCTGCTACAGAAGCTTTTGATATGATCAAGCAGACTTACCCAGTTGTTGGAGAGTTGTTGGGAAGATGTCGCTGATAAAGACCGGAAGAATGAGCAAAACCAAAGTGAAAACGATACTCATTGTCGCTTTTGACATCAAAGACATCGTCCACCATGAATTTGTTCCTCCGTCACAAACCGTCAAAGTCCAAGTTTTAGGTGGATCCGGCAACACCTCGTAGCCGATTGGAAGTTGCACCACGACACCGCCTTTCGGCCGTGAAATGTAAGTAATTTGAGACAACAGAGGGAATCCAAGCAGCATACACCTCGGCTCTCAAGGCTATTCCGGAGAATGCCTTCCGTGACGCCTTCAATACTTGGAAATCGCGATGGCAGCGCTGCATCGACGCAGAAGGAGCCTATTTGCAAAGTTTTTAAAGAGTTTTAATGATTGGTTCAATAATATTTTTTTCTAAATCGACTCAGTCCTATTAGCACACAATTAAACCACAGTTTAGGTTGGGGGCTAATTTAAAAAAAAATATTTATAAAAATGTTATACTATGTTAAGAGGTCGGTTCTAACAAGAATCTCTCTTGAACAACTAAAACCGCCGGCCCATTGTAGTACTTAAAATCGACAAAGCGCTTTGAGCCTATAACAATGACGGTCAGTTGGGGCGGCTTATCTTAGTTTCGGTTAAATTTTCTAGTTCGCTGAAGGTAAGACTGCTGAGATGCTTCAACCTCAGTCATTCAAAGCATGGACAAGAATGTTTCCATCTCACACTGTTCCATATATCTTTGACAACAACAACTATGTACGTCCAAAGCACCACCCAGCCATCGACCAGCGCCTGCTAAGCACATGCGAGGTCTATTAGTCCAGTGACTATCAAGACGGCAACGGAGATTCAACTTCGCTCCATTACGATGTAAGCGGGTGAAGAGTGCCACCACTGGCTGGTACATCAGCTTTTCAGTTGCCAGAGACTTCGCTATGACCACGCATGCTGATAATGACTTAGCTTAATGCTATTTCTGGTGAGGACAGACAGTCTTTGATTAGCTTTGAGCGCACAGGTAGCGAGCTCAGCGTCGGTATTGGCGCTCTGCTGTCGGAGTGAGTGCTTCCTGAAAGAGATAAACTATTCAAGCGAGTTCCATAATAGCAGGATGTCTAGAATGTCCCCCATATAAAGAATAGAATTCGCTCCCCTACCTTTACGACTCTCTTTTGATTCATCTTTCTGTGAGTTTCACAAATCAATTAAAAACATGACTGACTACGGCTGCTTAAAAGCTGAAAAAATAAAATTCAAACTTGCATTTGGTAAAAGTTGCGCACTGCAGGCCGTCAACGGCTGGCGGAAGAGACGAAAATCAGAAGGAAAAACAGACGAAATTGTGCATTGTTTCTAATTCAATCTGATTTTAACTGCGGCTTTGTGCTTAATGAAACGGAACTGTAAGCGCTGCCAGATGAACTCCCAAGAATCGGAAGGTTATGCCTCTTGAATTGGGAGGCTGTGACGCATTGCTTCTTTGGTAGCAAAGTCCAGCGATGCCTCACCGCAAAGCAGCATTCTCTGTGTGGAATCTCTAATGATGTTTTTGTTTGCCCACTGATTAGTTGTCATGCCCTTGAGCACTACTGACCTTTGCCGCACATACACATACACGCACATACGCGCACATCTGAATGTGATTACTCTGCGCACAGGCGATTTGATACAATCGAGACCACTTTGGAGGCACTGAATTAAAATGAGCTGCTGTTTGTATAAATGCAATCTTACACACACATACATTCTTACACACATGTACACATATGCGAGTGTATGTTAATTATCATTTGCCTCGGACGAATCTCCACTCCCGCAGTGCACATCACGTTGAATACTTTCGCAAATCCTTTTGTCCACTGAATGTGCTACTTAAGCTGTTGTTGTTGTTGTTGCTACTGGTCAGCAGCGCACATTGCTCCGAACCGCTGCTGAAATAAGCCAAGCACTTAGTATTGTTTGAGGCGTGCATTCAGCCATCTTGCTTGCAACGTGCGTGAAGGTTGACCGCTTGAAGCACCGAGCGTTTGCTCAGTTCCGAGTGTGAGTGCTTGTTAGGCAATCGCCCATTGTGATTGGTGGCTATGCAAGTTCCCAATGTACCTGCGTGGGCGCTTGTGCGATGCTCGTTTGTGTTGGGAAAGCGCTCGTCGACCGGAAATTTAATTTCGATGTTGGAGTTGTAGTCGCGCGCTCGCTCATTTCGTATTCGCCACGTTATGCTTTGAGGCGCTTTGATTTCAGACTTAAGCCATTCTTCATGAATTGCTTTCAGTTGTGGGCCATAAGGACAGCTTCATAACCATAGAAATGAACTCCATTCCAAACATGCCTACAAACATACGCAAGGGTGTTCTGGAGCACTCAATCCCGTTTGTTTTCGTTACGTGTTATGCGGTTAGTTTTCGCGCGGTCTCCGCTCTCACACACACATACATACATACACATATACATATGTATTCACGAATAGAAACTTGCGTGGCTTTATGCGTAAATTAGCAAATTCGCTTCGCCGCTCGGTCTCATTTTGCTCTATGTGCTCCGCTACCGTCTTCGCTTCCGTTGTTGTGGACTGCTTTCGTCATATTTATGGATCATATAAATAGCATTTCGCTGTCGGACATGACTATGTCTCCGGCAATGAAGGAATTTGAGAAAACTCGCGCTGCCATAACAAACATCACAGCAACGGCGATTGGTATTGCGAAGGATACGATTTCTACAACTTGCCTGTATTCAGATCTATCAGAATTTTTCTAATTCACCGAAATTAGAAATCAAAGTTATTTAAGGCGAAAAACCTTCAAAAATCTTCGCTGGAGTGATTCAAAATAAGACTTCTTCCCATTTCTTTACAAAATTACAATTAAATATTCCTGGATATTCACGATTTTTCGCCTTAAATCGTTGGTCAAAACTTTTCCAAACAAAAGGAATTGAAACTATTAAAATGACAGTAAAAGAGTACATTAAAGCAGATTATGTTTTTTTGGGTTTTGTTTTTATTTTCCAATGTCAAACAGAGCTTTCCCTTTCATTGCCAATCAAATCCAATTCGGCACTATCACAGATCAACCGCTACATACCGTTTACTTGCGGAGCACATAGGCGGCGCTGTATGGGTAAGCGGAGTAGGCGGCGTAGGGTGAAGCGTAGGCGGCATAGGGAGCGGCGGCGTAAGCGGCATATGGTGCAGCATAGGCAGCGGCATAGGGGGAGGCGACCAATGGAGCTGAGTAGGCCAATGGTGCTGCYACTACAGCGGGTTTAGGCTCGGCAGCGGCGAAGGCGAAGAGAGCGACGAAAACGAGGGCGAACTGCAAAGTAAATTAAAAGTTAGTTGCTTGGCATATGAAATGCACTACTTACGTATTTGAACATCTTGTTTATTCTTAGTTTGGAAGTTGCTTTGTGGTAGAGCAAATTTTAACTGATAATAGTGGTGAGCTCTGCTCGAGTTTAAATACTCTGCCATTTTCAAAAAACTAAAAAAGAATATTATTGTGTGTGTGCACAAGTATATCCACGATGTCTTGCTTTGCAAATAAGTAAGTCCGACTTTGATTGAAATTGTACGCAATTTTGCCGAAAATTCTTTTTTTATTTAAATTTGGTGTAGACGAGCCAATTTTCGGTTGTCATTTGGTGGCCGCCGCGCATATTAAACCATTATTTTGCTAAGCGCTTCACTGTCATTTCATGGTCGTCGTAGACGTGCGGACATGCCTAAGCAAAAAAAAAAAAAGAATTTAGTAAAAACATTTCAGTACTATTTAGTACAATTTTTGCTGAAACTTGTCGTACTTCAGACCCGTTATTTGAGAATAAATTCTACGCAGTCATCTCTTCACTAAAATTAAAGATAAATGAAGCAATTATATCCAGCTTCACTTCTCAGTGCTTGGTGAAATTTCATAGCTCACTAATTACTCGATCCCTGGTTCTTGTGGTTTACAATATTCTCTTGATACAATTGCGTAATCGGAATACAATCACGCCCACTTTTAGTGTAATATAAATGACATCAGCTTATTTGACTTTTATAGATTCTTTGAATTTTATGAAACATTATCGGAGTTTAAGTCCAAAATTTGCTGGAGCGGGTCMCGACTCTTTCAAGCACTCATTAATCCAATATAATGGTTGACGCTCCTTTAGTTGAAGTTTGATGTGCACGTCTATTAAGGGATTAAATGCATATATTTTCTTGAGCTTATTGTGGCAAATGAATCTGAGTAACATCTTAGATGATATATATCAAAGCTAATGCTTTTCGTCCTCTACTATTATTAGATCCCGGTGACAAGTCCAGACCTTTAAGAAAATTTTAGTCTTCCCGGTGACATCGCTGCCGCAAATGGGAGACATCCGTGTACAACCGGCGTATACTATAAAGGACTCATCCTGAATAGGAAGCTTTCATGAAAGCCGAATAACAAAGAGGGACCAAAAAAGTTATCGATTGCTTCGAAGTGCTGTGAAGGAGCTATGGGCAAAAGTTGGGTTTTCTCATCGAAATTGGTTCTCTGCCCCACCATAGTCAGGTCCGTTATGTTCTATGGAGTCTTTATGTGGTAGAGGGCTCTAGAAAAGACCACCCCTGCAAGGACCTAGAGAGCGTTGCACTAAGGTTTACTTCAACCATGGTATTCTAAATGGTTTTCTAAACTGCGGTTTCAGCCATTAATGTAGCAGTAGATTTAGAGCGGCAGAGTCGCGATACTAGCCTTGAACTCATTGACAGTGCGTTCAGGGCTGGTCAAGCTATGCCTAACTTCACCATCAATAGCATCGAGTGTCTTTGTGATAAGACTGGTATAGGTGCCAGACCTAAGCAGAAATGCAGGAAATTGTAAAGCTGATGAGCTAACTAGAAAAAGCATCCTAGAACTGATATAAGTAGAATGGAAGCGGGTCGGAGCTCCCCTATCCTATTAGATAGACTTTCAGACACCCCACCGTACTAGCGGGAGTTGAAACCAAACGCATATGTAAATTCGTTTTGGCTACTAAGCATTTTGTTAATTTATGTGTTAGAACTAGAGACTTCTTCTTTTCTATAGCTTCATGACCGATCTTCGATCAGCCATCTAACCTAACCTAATCTATAGGGATTCTGGAACAGTTATTTCTTTATTTTGCCAATTATTTATTAAATGTCTATGAACCTTTGAGATACACTTATTTTTATTTTTGGCAGCGTATGGATACACACGCTGTAGCGACGCGACTTGTAGAGCATGGGTTGAAGGCAAAAAGAAACAACATTTCTTTCCCCTTACTTTTCCTCCCCAGTACTCACGAGTGTCTTGCATACATAAATGAGCAAGACTGATCATATACATACTTACATTAGCGTGCAGAACGCATTAATCCACAAGTATTTAAAGGCGAGCGATAAGTGATTTCATTATCAATTTAATTTTGCTTCACCACAGTAAAACACCAAACAAAAACCAACAATCAAAATGTTCAAATACGTAAGTACAAACTAACCATAATTTGTTTACTATGAATTTGTTTTGTAATAAATTGAGTTCTTCCTTGCAGTTCGCACTCGTTTTCGTCGCCCTCTTCGCCTTCGCCGCGGCCGAGCCCAAGCCTGCTGTGGTAGCAGCACCATTGGCCTACTCAGCTCCATTGGTCGCCTCCCCCTACGCCGCTGCCTATGCTGCCCCATATGCCGCTTACGCCGCCGCTCCTTATGCCGCCTACGCTTCACCCTACGCCGCCTACTCCGCTTACCCATACAGTGCCGCCTATGTGCTCCGCAAGTAAACGGAATGTGGCAAAAGATACCGTAATTTAAGGATAAAAAATTGAAAAAATAAGGCAAAGCCATAAACGATAAATAAGTCTTTCAAATTTTAATCGGAAAATAGGAAAAAGTAATTATGAGGGACAGCTGCGAGCCACTCAATGGAACTTAACTTCATCATTGATTTCTTATTCTTTCATTAGTTCGAAATTTAATAGTAAATGGGTTCTCAAGTCATTACAAAATTATAAATAAGATACTTGCAGTATATTGGAACTCATCCATGGATCGAATCTTGTTGGCCGTTGAAACAAATTCTAAGCTCTTGGCTAGCAAAACAAGACTCTTATCATACTCTGTAGTCAGGTAAAGTATTGGAAGTCTACTTCTTTATTTTTATTATTATTATAGCTATATTAATTATTGACATGAATGTTCTATATGAATGTTTGTTCTTAACATAAATTAAAAAAAAAAAAATCTCCTTCAACTAGTATAAGGGGTTACATGGGTTTCCTTGGGTAAAAAACCTACACTTATTCAACACTTTTATTTTCTAAAGAAAAAACTGAAATATTTTATTAAAATTTATTGTTACAAACATATATTATTAACAAAGCAATTTTAAAATTATTAGAAAAAAAATTGTAAGCTCGGTTATTGCGACACCATATCCGGTGACCCATCGGAAAAAAGATGCACCCGAATTTGCAGGATATCTCCTTCTCTCTATCTCATTTGAAAAAATACGTGTTTTTAGTTAAAACCTTAACTTAGAACGTGGATGAAGAGGAAAACTAAAACTTGGATTTTTTGTAGGCATTTTTACAAAGAAATGAAAATTTCATTAAAAATTGCATTTTAAAGACCGGCGTAAAATTTCATGAAGATCGGTTCAGTAGTTCTCGAGGAATCATGCCAATCGACTTCAAAACACAGTTTCGAGAAAACGCGTGTAAAGACCGCGTGCTTAGTCTAGCTAACCTCGAGCGCACAAGTTTTCAAGGATGTATCTCCGAAACTATCGATCGGATCAACTTAGGACAATATTCTAGAAGTGTTGTAGAATTTTATAAGGCAATGAAAAACAAAAACCGATTCTTTGAAACCCGTAAACCCATGTAACCACCCCATAAAGCAGAACACAAAGTAAACTAGAAAGGTTGACAGAGTTGTGTAAGTATCCTGGAAATTAACAAATAAGTGTCGAACCGACGTAATAACACTGCGATATGGCGGAGTAAATATTTTTCTCCATTAATTAAATACCTAATTTAGACTGAGCAGATGCTATGTGGATATAAATTAGAATATCTAAAATTTTTATTAAAATATGGTAGAATCTAATAAAATAAATTATGCTCTAAAAATGTAGTAACGCGTTTAGAATTTGATTCGAAAAGAGGGGTTCACTTAAATGGTTGGGGCCTGTGGTCTAGTTTCCATCAGAGCATAAATCAATCAGAACCCAAATAGACGTTTTAAGGCTCCAAATTCCGATAATTCTTCTATATTTCATTCTTACTTGCCTCGTTGCTTCTAGAACATAGTTTGTTTCCTTTAGACCATAAAATTCAATTGGTCTGAAGTTATGTATTTTTCATTAGCTCAAATTTTTTATTTGCCTACACATCTGTTTTTCTATAGTTATAAGAAGAGCAAAAATAGACCGTTATGTTGTAAAATGTAAAATATTTTTTTTTTTTTCATCTAAAGGGAATGCAAACATGTTCTTATTTTGCAAGTGGATTTTCTATGCTCTGTAAATGGCCAACTTAAATTGAAAACGTGAAAAAGAACATTAGAATAATAAAAGTTTGTGACTTCGTTTCCAAATTTTCAGTTTTATTTCATTATTTCAATAAGTTTGAGTCCAAATTTCTCCTATTCAATGCCAATCAATCTCATTTATTGTACAATCACAGTTCCAGAGTTCTACTGCTAGGTTCCGTTTACTTGCGGAGCACATAGGCGGCGCTGTATGGGTAAGCGGCGTAGGGTGAAACGTAGGCGGCATAAGGAGCGGCGGCGTAAGCGGCATATGGGGCAGCATAGGCAGCGGCGTAGGGGGAGGCGACCAATGGGGCGGAGTAGGCTAATGGTGCTGCGACCACAGCGGGCTTAGGCTCGGCAGCGGCGAAGGCGAAAAGCGCGACGAAAACGAGAGCGAACTGCAAAAGGAAGACAATTTTAAGTTAGAGGTGCTTTGTGGTAATCAATATGTAATCCGAATGCTTATGGAAGTGTGACTAAAGTTACTTACGTATTTGAACATCTTGTGTTTGGTTTGTGCTGTATTGTTGAGGAAACAAAACTGAACTGATAAACATATGACAATCGCTTGCGTTTATATACGCTTACCATTTGCCCGATGGTTCGTAGCTCGACATAATTATGCGTTCAAAGAGCTGACATTGGCAAAGTTTTGGGCATAACGTGCAGGGTTATGAACAATCAGCTGTGATGTCCAATGACACGCGCACTTGTACGCACATGTGTATGTTTCTTTATGAGTCCGATTTTGGAGGCGTTGAGCCACGCATTTTAATGCACACGTTTACGAGTACCAACTTGGGTGATAATAGACAACCCGAAATATAAGTGCACGACAATGAATTAAACTAATAAAACTACTAACTAAATTAAATATGTAAATAAGGCAAATGAAGCAATTGCGACCTTAGCGTTTCTTGTTTGTGTTATAATTATTGCGTGTATTTGTAATGAAGTTCTTGTTGACATTTTTAGCACACATTTTGGCCTGCGTCAATTGTGTGGTAATTGGACTTAACGCCAAGCATGTGTTGTTTTTGCTGTCAAGTACTTGCATTAGCACTAATAATTAAAGGCCATCTTGCCACACACGTATTGGAGGGGAGCGGTGGGCATAAAGCCGCCTCGGGCTGAAATAAAGCAAAATTGCCCGAAAATGCACAAAAGCACAAATGCCAACAAAAGCTGAATAACAGCTGCCACAACAGCCGTCATTTAGCGGGGAGCGTGCGGGGGCGTTTCAAATGACCTGCTGCCTCCAAGCGCGGCGACGCTTCCTGCATACCAAATGAAGCGCTCGCGGTGATACGGTTATCGATAGTCTGCGTGCCCATCGTCATTGAGACGTCATGTCCGCAGTTATTTAGTACACAGCTAATGCAATATTTGCTTACTCACACGCACGCACACATGCATATACATACCTGTATATAGCATATTTATGAAGTGTATTTTATTGGCGTTCTTGATTACATGCCATATATTGGTAGACGAAAAAGTCTTTTCGTATTTCTAATCAAAATTAGAGCAGGCGGCGTCTCGCTGGAGACATTATTCCATCAGTGTAAATCGAAACTTCCAGAACGGGAGCGAGCGAACCATGGTTGTGCTACTCGAGCTTATACAGCCTCGTCTCCGAAAACTTCAAAAATTTCATTGGTGGCTTGCGCGGCAGTCTTCCCTTTTTTATACAAAAATTTAAAAATAATGCGAATTTCTCATTATTTCAATTAATTTTCACTCATTTTTGAACAACTGTAATATTTTTCAACTTCCCCGAATTTATTGCTATTTTTTGGTTAAATGAAGCTCACCTTCCCAACAATAGATGGTATGACACAATGTGATTGGTAGCTCTGCAGATATACGCCTGCAACGACATCTATTGACAAAACACGAAACGACTTTTTCGACTACTCAATACCCAATTTTTCAGCAAAATAAAGTATATTGATTTATGATTGAATAAACGATTATATGATTTATTTTCACTGAAATTAAAACACAACAATCTGGAGATACGCTATTTTCTATCCCAACATATCAAAATATCTTATTTCCTCGTCGCGGTTTTCTTCTTGGTAGTAGATCCAGGGGATAAATGTTCCATATTCCACTTCGATATGAAATGTCAGTATGGTTTGTACCATTGGAGGCGTCGACAGCTATTTGTATCAAAATGAATCCCACTATTTCCAAAATTGAATTTACAACATTATTTTCGTACCTATGGACACTTTTCGCAAATTATCAGGAAAATATATACGATCCCTATCAAATGTATCACTTGCACACACCTTCAGTAAACTCAAAATGATTAAATGCGTCAAATTCATTTTGTTGCACCTTTTTCCCTCGTCTTAATTTTGAGCCAAATCAGAATATTCTGCGACTTTGTTGAGTTCCGTATGGAGCAGCTGCTTTTGTTTAAATAAACATTTCAAAATATCTGCAAATTCTTACACGCGCACTTTCACGCCAAGGAGCCGATACACTCTCTCTCTGTTCTGACTGCAAATGCAGCGGAATGAAACAGCAATGAATTTCTGTTGCTCCGAGAAGAAGAGAAGAATCTGCTGTGAAAATAGTAAAATCTGTAGTTAAGACTATTTTTTGAATAAAATATCTGCGCGAAGTGGGAAATAAATTATTGTCCAAGACAATCCCAACAATTATAAGGTATTCAAACTGACCGTTTTATACTTTGGGGTTTCATATAGTCTCATAAAGATTTCGTATATTTTTTAAACAAGTCTAGAAATCTATGATTTTACTATGCGCTGCGACAAGTTGTGAGTCCCCTAACTGTAAAAAATGCTCCTGTGAAGGGTATTGTCGCTCCGATGTAAGTAATGCTAATGTTTGTTTTTATTTATATATCTTTCATTCATAACTTGCTTGGAAGAAGTAAATTGTAAATTCTCTTTAGGTTGGAGCAGAATACGAAAGGTCATTGGACAGATTTTTTTCATGCGATGTTTTTTTAAAATAATTGTACGAAATATGCCTAGAAGATATATCCATTAAAGCTCAATGCAACGAGTAAGCAAGGGCTAAGTTTGGATATAACCGAACTTTTGGAGGTTGCAAGGATTAAAGCCAGGGAAGTAGCTTCAAGTACATAAGACCTGTTAGTTATATGGGATCTAGGGCGAGTTTTCACCCGATTTCATTGATTCTTACCACAAATGTGCACCGTTATAAGAAAAACACGCTCTCTCAATTTTATTCAGATAACTCACATATTGGCCGCTTGATGAAGTGTAAAGTCACCCGAAGTTCGAAAATCTTTATATTAGGTATTTGGTTGCTCAGTGGAGTATTGACCTCGTCCAATCCATTTGTAGCACACAGGCATACTACAATCAGGAAAGGAATTTCAATTGTAAATCTGACACATTGACCGATATTTTCGATCAAAAGTCAGCTATAGATACTGTGGTCCACATATACGGTACCTAGGGGCTTGAACAGTTTTTGTTGGATTTGGAGAATTTTGGGCCATAAGATGGCATATTTGTACAGAAGAAAATCAAATAAAATTGTGTTATATGAAAAAGAGGCATGGCTGTTGCGATTTCGCCATACATTTTATTATATGGTTAGTGAGCGTTATTTAATTTTTTGGTAGGAGTTCTCATAATATTTGCGCTAGGTGAATTTGGTTATTGTAGCTTAGGTGGCTTAAGAGATATACACATTAAGCTTATTAGAGGGCGGCCATGCCCACTTTTTTAAATTTTAACCACACGTGTCGCCTACTGCAATCCTCTGTGCCAAGTTACAGTTCTATATCTTAATTTAGAGCTTAGTTATGACACTTTATAGGGTTTTGGTTAATGGCGTTTTGTGGGCGTGGCAGTGGTCTGACTACGCGAATCTATGAACTTGTACTTGGTTTTTGTCAAGGAACGCGCATACCAGGCTCCATTAAGATATCTTAATTTTTTCTGAAGTTACCGTTTGCACAGACAGACGGGCGGACAGACAACCACCGGAATTTTTCATCACCGAGATCTCTTATATACCTATATATGTATGTATATATTTATAACACTATATCTATCTCAATTAGTTTTAGATGATACGTACAACCATTAGGTGAACAAAACTATTATGCTCTGTGGCAACATGTTGCAAGAGTATAAAGAGTGTTGTTTTTCTTAGGTAAGTTTTACATACGCCTATGTATTCTGAGCATGTCTTTCCATGTAGTTTGTTTGCAACATACACCCTCTTTCAAATACACACATTCACACTTGAGTATTTTAATACAAGGTGTCAATTTACGACCTTCAGGCCTTCAAGTGTTTAGTACAAAGCGATTAAATATTCATTGCAAAGAAAATAAATAAAAATCAAAAGTCGCCAACAAGTTGACTTCCCCGTCGAATTGTATTTAAAGGCGAGCAATAAACGAATTTGGCATCAGTTAAATTTTGCTTCACCACAGTAAAACACCAAACAAAAACCAACAATCAAAATGTTCAAATACGTAAGTACAAACTAACCATAATTTGTTCATTATGAATTTGTTTTGTAATAAAATGAGTTCTTCCTTGCAGTTCGCTCTCGTTTTCGTCGCGCTCTTCGCCTTCGCCGCTGCCGAGCCCAAGCCCGCTGTGGTAGCAGCACCAYTGGCCTACTCAGCTCCATTGGTCGCCTCCCCCTAYGCCGCTGCCTAYGCTGCCCCATATGCSGCTTACGCCGCCGCTCCYTATGCCGCCTACGCTTCACCCTACGCCGCTTACCCTTACAGCGCCGCCTATGTGCTCCGCAAGTAAACGGAATGTAGCGACTGACCTGTGATAGCATCGAATTGGACTTCATTGCCAACGAATTAAAAGTACAGAAAATAAATTTTCCAAACAAGCAACAATAAAACAGAATTAAAACGAAATCTTCTATTTCTATATTTTATTGGTACTTCCTGGGTTATTTTGTTTTTTTCTTTTTAAAACGCAAACACTTGAAATTGTCTTGAAATAGTGAAATATGAAAAGATTTTCCTAAGGACATTACAGTAAATTTTTTTCTATAAAGTCGAGTATGCGGAAAATTTTCTACGTAAAATGTTTTCTCTTTCTGAACAAATTGCCAAAGGTACTATGGGTCAAAACCCGGTTTTAAGCCAGCGATCCGGCAAATGATCTATAAAATGTAGAAATTCACCTACTTTTTTAATCATATCATTCAGATAACTCAAAAACGGACTAAGAAATTTTTCCGATCCCTAAAAAGCTTCGCCTTACAAATCGCTTACCTAAAACCAGTTTTATTTCTATACTCTCTTAGTCAAAGTTGTTCAGAATGACCCTTAGAAAACTTCTAGCATATGCGATTTCTCCGATTTTTGCCTCTTTGTACGTCGGAACGCTCTAATGTATCATATATACTCTTTAGAAACATGTCTTATGACTTGAAATAATCTGAAAATTGTTCTAAAGGTTTTAGAAACACACAGTAGTCTATTGGTATCAATTTATTTCTACTAATTTCCAACTTTCGAACCCTATATTATAGCATTGCTGCTTGCGAGTTAGAAATTCTTACAGATTTACTCGAGCATTATCTAAAAAATGCGGTCATTTTGCAATTTGCAGAAAGCAGGAAGAGCAAACAAAATCGAAAATCCCTAAATGAGTAGCAACACACATAAACGCTTGCTGTTGCGCTTTGTCAATGTTGGTCCATGCCTTTAAGCACTGCAACATTTCTTGCATTCTTAATGAATCTCTGTCGATGACACGGCTGCCAAAAGTTGGCAGCGACCACTACCGTGCCAGCAATACCTTTTGTTGTATGTATTTCTCTCCCTCACCATAGAATATGTCTATATGCTCTCCTAACCTTATGAGAGGAATATGTGCCAAGCTTATTACAATGTCCACTATACATATGTATAATACTTTTACCTACACTTTTTAATATAGGCCTACTGATTTGTACTAGAGGTAAGCTTTTTATGCCATGAGCTTTCAGTCGTCCAGAAAACTAGAAATAACTAGGAATTTATCTCACGAGATCAAGAGCTCTGATTGAGAGTCAAGAAGGTCATGACCTCATTAGCAGCAACATCAAGCTACTACCATATTAAACTTGTCTGGGAGCTTGACCACAGCGGATTCGTTGATAATTGTGAAACCGTTTGGTCAGCAACCAGCAGTTGTGGGGCTTGCGAAACCCTTATGCCTCAGAGTGGAACGTAAAAGGTCCATTGAACAACTAGTCTTCAGTAGAGGGTCACATATTTCATTGGCACTCACAAGGTGAGAGTAAGGATTTTGTAAGATGTAACTTGTTAAAGTTTCAATGAGAAAGCTGAGGTGGAAACATCTAGACTCTTTCTTATCGTCATTTTGTATGACAGCTACAAATGTTATATAGCGGTACGATGTCGGCGGTTTCGACAGATGAGGCAGCTTTTTAGCGAGTAAAGGGCATGTGCAATATTTGTCGACAGATGGCGAAACTGACTCTGCTCGTCCGCCTGACCATTTATATACAGTATATACCATAGAAGATCTACAAATTTTCTTTCTGGGGATTACAAACTTCGAGGCGAACTTAATACAGGATATATATACTAGAGAATAAGTATCACTGTGCCATCCATAATATAAAAATTAAACACTTCATACAAAATGAACTTTCACAGGTCTTAAATACAGTTCTTTATCACAATACTTTTCATTAAATAAATATTAATGATTTAAGACTATTCTTTGACTACGTAGGTATCTCATAGCATATGTAATTTTTTTTTTTTCAAATTGTAGAAGAGAAATAATTGATAAGTATTTCTGCCTAAAAGAGCATGCTTGATTTCATATGATATACTGTACATATATATATACAGCTATAAGTATGTATATATATGTGAGTAAACACACATTTTAAGCGATTATTTTAATGGAAGTGGTCAATTTGCGGCCTTCTACGTGCTTAGCCAAAAATTGTCGAAATAAAAACCAAAAAAACACAAAACAAAAACTCAAAAACTTCTCGGCCAATAAAATCGCAATAACAAACTAATTGTATTCGTATATAAAGACGGATAATCAACGAATTTGTCATCAGTAAAATTGTGCTCCACAACAGTAGAACAACTACCAAACAATCAAAATGTTCAAATACGTAAGTACAAACTAACCATAATTTGTTTATTATGAATTTGTTTTGTAATAAAATGAGTTCTTCCTTGCAGTTCGCTCTCGTTTTCGTCGCCCTCTTCGCCTTCGCCGCTGCCGAGCCCAAGCCCGCTGTGGTAGCAGCACCAYTGGCCTACTCAGCTCCATTGGTCGCCTCCCCCTACGCCGCTGCCTA